GAAACAGATGACTCCAAGGCCATGCCTAAAAATATGCCAACCAAAGAAGACGATGATATGGAGACATCAAGCAGCAATAATGTCAAACCAACGGGTGGAAAATCTGATTGAGAGAAAAAGGAATACGATAAGTCTGAGCCTGCAAAATCTGATTCTACGATGGAGGTTGTAGTTGATGAAGAAGTGCTTCAGGTAACTTCTGAGTCATGTTTAAAATCTGACAGGGAAAAAAAAAAAACCCCCCCCCCCCCCCCCCCCCCACACACACACACACCCACACCCACACCCACACCAACACCCACTAAAAAAAGAAAAAAAACACACAACAAACAAATTCTAACTTGCGTCCATCTTTTTTCCAATTAGGCTTTCAGGTACTTTGATTATAATCGCGTGGGTTATATCAAGGTAACAAATGCATTGACTCACTATGCTCTCATTTGGTTGATACTTAGATATATATAGTGGCCTTATCAGAGTGTATTTTTCATTCGTAGGTTGACCGATTTAAGATGCCTGCTTCACAACTTGGGCAAGTTTATTTCTCATTGAGATGTTGATGTTGGATTTTTAAACCTTCTCTTGAAAATTCACATTCACACACGTATATACACATTCATTTACACACAAATAGACACAGATACAACGATCGTACTTTGGTTTGATGTGATTTTAGTTGATTATTGATGTGATTTTAGATAATCGTGTGCTTATCCGGAGTGCTTTTGACCCTGGTTTTATTTTGGAAAAAAACAGGAACTAGTACAGAGTGCGCACTTTAAAAGCATTACTGCCGGTTATATCAAGGTAACAAATGCATTGACTCACTATGCTCTCATTTGGTTGATACTTAGATATATATAGTGGCCTTATCAGAGTGTATTTTTCATTGACTCACTATGCTCTCATTTGGTTGATACTTAGATATATATAGTGGCCTTATCAGAGTGTATTTTTCATTCGTAGGTTGACCGATTTAAGATGCCTGCTTCACAACTTGGGCAAGTTTATTTCTCACAGAGATGTTGAGGTTGGATTTTTAAACCTTCTCTTGAAAATTCACATTCACACACGTATATACACATTCATTTACACACAAATAGACACAGATACAACGATCGTACTTTGGTTTGATGTGATTTTAGTTGATTATTGATGTGATTTTAGATAATCGTGTGCTTATCCGGAGTGCTTTTGACCCTGGTTTTATTTTGGAAAAAAACAGGAACTAGTACAGAGTGCGCACTTTAAAAGCATTACTGCCAGTTATATCAAGGTAACAAATGCATTGACTCACTATGCTCTCATTTGGTTGATACTTAGATATATATAGTGGCCTTATCAGAGTGTATTTTTCATCCGTAGGTTGACCGATTTAAGATGCCTGCTTCACAACTTGGGCAAGTTTATTTCTCATTGAGATGTTGATGTTGGATTTTTAAACCTTCTCTTGAAAATTCACGTTCATGCACGTATGTACACATCCATTTACACACAAATAGACACAGATACAACGATCGTACTTTGGTTTGATGTGATTTTAGTTGATTATTGATGTGATTTTAGATAATCGTGTGCTTATCCGGAGTGCTTTTGACCCTGGTTTTATTTTGGAAAAAAACAAGAACTAGTACAGAGTGCGCTCTTTAAAAGCATTACTGCCAGGGGGTCCTCATCTTCTACGAAAAGCTTGTGAGAATGACAAGCCTTTAAATTATGTATCTCCATTGAAACAAGTTAGCGATTGACAACAGTGGGATGCTTCAAAATTCTTGAGGATGCTGGCTTTTCAACACTGATGAATCATTGGGATCATTCAGAATCACCTCACAGTCAACTCTTTGGTTTTGAGGAGTCGATATAGTAAATTGCAATCTTCAACTACCGATATGTGGTTTGATCCAGTCTCCTTATTTACTATAAACTTTGTATATAGAGAATAAATTTTCTTTTGGTTGCTGTGAGCAAATATGTTCAAATGGTTAGTTATCTGTACTGAACAATAATAACTACACTATTCTCTCATACACTATTTTTATACTTCAAGAGAGAAAAGTGTGGGATTCATTGGTAAGTCACAAATTTTGGAAATAGTTGAAGAGAATGGACCTTACAATTTTCTCTCTTATAGTGCAGAAGTAGTTTGTAGTGTAAAAGTAGTGTAAAGAGTAGAGTGTAGTTATCAATACTCCTTTATATTCACATTCAACAAAATGTTGATTAATTTGGTGATACATAGTTACGATTATCATGACAGTGGTGAGTGGTGATAAATTTCTCTTCCACTAGTCCTTGTAACTGTTATCGTCAGAGAAATTTTGGAAATGGACCATGTCATACATTTTTTACCAAAAGTAACCATATTGAATTTTTATTTTTATTTACCAAAATCAACTAACTTTTTGGCCACGACAGCACAGTGCATTTAAAGTTGGCCTTCTAAAAAATTGTGCTTTGAGGGTCCACAGGATTGGGAATTCCATAAACTCCATGGGATTGACAGTCTCGTAGAGTTCGATTGTCAATGAAACTCTACATGATTCCCAGCCTTGTAGAGTTTGTTTCTCATTTGAGTTGCCTGTAGAGTTCACAATATTTGATAATTTCATTGCCAATCCTATAAGATTATCATAGGCCGCTAATCTCCATGGGATTCTCAATCCCGTAGGCTCTCGAAGATAATTTTAGCTCACGTTGTTGACGCGGCTAAAACTTGGTTAATTTTGATAAATAAATATGTTGTTGGTTGATTTTGGTGAATAAATTTATGGAAGGTTCTATTCCAAAAATTTCTCTATTATCAGCTGCTGAGTTATTTTCAGTCACCAGCCAACTGGAAACTAAAATTCTTCGCAAAAATAAACTAGAATTTGTGGAAGATATCAAATTCTGATATCAACAGTTCACGCTGATTCACACTTATATCAACTCATATTACATATCAAACAGGGGAAACAATATGTCACAATAATAGATTATATTAAGTTCTTACTAATTGATTGTTAATTTATCACGAATCCTTTACTATACTGATACAACTCATTAACATTCTTAAACCCACATTAAGAATACGCCTGTGAATAGTATTATAAGAAAAGGAGCAGACGCTACTAGCTTGTTCCCATGCCCAAAAAAGTAATCTCCGTATCCTTCTCCGTATCCTTCGCCGTATCCTTCTCCAAATCCTTCAGCTCCTATGTTCTGAAAAATATCAAAATCACCTACATGAAACAAAGAACCACGTACGTTAACCAAATTACTCAACAAAATTCCTGCAAAACCCACAGTTACTAATATTTCGACGTATCTCTACCTCGCCTTTCAGTGTGACCACAACCCCTAGCAAGAGTATAAGCGGCGTCTTTGAGTGATGCGCCGTTGTAGAATCTGAAGTTGTTGAGAATTCCGTCGATGCATTTGAGCACGAGCTTCGTCTCTACTAAGCACGGGCCACCACAGTAAGCATCAACGGCCTCTGGAGGGACATGGATTGTTCCTTCTGCATGAAGCCTGTAGTCTTCTTGGCAGTGGCTGTATATCTTCCCCTCCAAAAGGGAAGCAAATGTATAAATACATCATAAAATGTTCTTTCTACAAATATATGGGTACGCTACAAATCTTTGTTTTCAATTCTACCATAGGATATACTGTTGATGTGCATATATTATATTGAAATTAATGACTATCATACCGGAAATATGACAATTATTTGACTAGAAAATGGAAAAAAGGGGTAAACTATCAGTTTCAAAAAATCTAAGGAGAATTTCTATCATTTTTACAAAATATAGGGAGATTCTTGTAATACTACTTAAACATTAAAGACAGATGGGAATTTGTTCAACTTACATAGCGATCATTGAGGCATTCCAATGCTCTACCAATAATGCCTTCTGCATCTGTATACTTTGAATCTCATGTTAGCTAGATGCTATGTTATTTTTACATAAACTGATATAGATAAATCAATTGATAGGCATAGCCAAGAGAATATATACCAACCTGAGCTGCAACGAGTAACAATCATGCAGAGAAGAGCAAGGAAGGCTATGCGACCAAGAGTGAGGGTAAGAGGAGAAGCCATTGGAGAGAAGTCTCTAAGCAAATTCACACCAAGGAATGCCTAGAGAGTGCAAGGCTTATTATTTATAATCCCCAAAGTAAAGTGTATATACCAGCTAGTAAAACTTTATATTAGTAAAACTTCATCAAAACTTGTAGCGAAACTAACCCAACCTGTAAGTTCTTGTTTATTTCTTCTTCCTATCTTTTCTTGCTTTCTGGTGCATGGACCAACTAATTGTCCCTGGAAAATGACCAATATAACCTTGTTTTAAGTAGAAATAACATGGAGAAAGAATGGGATTGTGGGGTCGGAAATGGGACTGACTGGGGAATTTCATTAGTAAAGACGTAATAGGAGTCTCAATTTGGTGGTTTGCTTTGTTTCGTAGAGAAAAGAGGGGAGTTGGGTGTTGGTGGGAAAATAAATACCTACCTAGTTGACAATGATTCTTTAATGTTTCCTTAGTTGTCAGCAGCCTAGTTTTTCCTAGGAGTGTTTTGAGATTACAAGAGTTCTCATATTAGACACTATGAGAAATGACCAGATTATTAAGAAAGACTGCTAACCGAGAATGTCTTGATCACTTTTGTGCTAAACTGTTAGAAATTATGGTTAAATCTGGAATTAAACAGTCAATGATGACGTGCTGTTATTTTAAACTTTTTCAATTAACTGCTATGCGTTTGTGAAACGTTGTGCTTAAAGCAATATTTGGCCTACTCCGGTGCAAGGATCTTAAGGCCAAACTGCTTCCAGGAACAGCAGTACAGTACTCTGTTGTGCACCAATCCAGTACTGTCAAGATCTCCTCGATCTATAAGACCTTTCGGTCAAGGCAAAAGATCTCCTCAATCTCAGAACCTTTCGGTTCAAAAAACCTTTCGGTTTTAGGGTTCCTGCGGGTACAGTTTCTGCAGCAGCAGCAACACAACAACAGCAACAACAACGTCGATCCGATGTTCGTTTTCCAAGCTCGCGTGTGTCTACCAATGTTTGTATTCTATACTGACGTTCGTATTCCACGCTCGCGAGAAAGTTTCCAGCAGCAACCAAGAGCTGCCCAAGGGCGCTATTTATAGGCCTCTAAGGTCAGCTCAAGAGTCACTAGCAATTAATGTGACCGTTACAATTCTTAATGACAATTAAGATTATAACTTAAATTGCTCTTAATGCTGTTGTAATTGCTGCGTGCAGTAACTGCTTAATACGAGGCAATCAATGGACGCGTTGCTACGAAACGCGAGGATCACGTCTTAGCAAATCAGACAAACCTCGATTGACAAATGAACGTCGTTAAACAGGCGAACCTCGTATGACATACGAACCTCGTCGAACGAGCGAACATAGTCAAACAGGCGAACCTCGTATGATATACGAACCTCGTCGATCGAGTGAACCTCGTCAAATAGGCGAACCTCGTATGACAGACGAAGCTCGTCAAACAAGCGAACCTCGTATGACATACGAACCTCGTTCGTTCGAACGAACGAATGAACGTGCAAAGTGCGCCTAACAAAGCGCCACTTAGCGCCTCAGCTCGATTAGCCCCGATCCTCGGTCCATTGCCCACGGCCCACGGCCCACGACCCACGACCCACGACCCACGACCCACTAGAACTTATGAAGGATTAATTCAAATAAAACACTTCTCGGCTTGCCATTGGCAAGCCTCGAACAAGAGATCTTTTGAAACACCAAAACATAAACTTTCCACTAGGTTACAAAGAATTTATGAAAAGTACTTGTAGTAGTTTGAAAACTTATTTTGGAAAGCAGTTTTGACCAAAAAATCCAACAATCCCTCATAAGTTTTTAAACTAGTGTCGTGTTATGGTGCCGTCGTTTCAATTGTTGTGCATAAGGTAGATGTCGCAAGGACTTGAATCCCTCTTAGACCAACTGATTAGAAGATAGATGCATGGTGTCGCAGAGACTTGAACCAGCACATGTCTAAAATCCAGTGATCACACAAGATCAAACTCATCTGTGGTAGTTTTCACTTTGAACCATACTTGCCTTTGCCTTTGCACATTTATGGCCATGTGCTAGTCCTGGTTTCTGCTAGGGCTCTAGGTATCTTTCTACAAGACACCATAGGAGACGGCCAAACCTTTACCCAGGCATAGGTGAGTTCTTTAGGTATGTTTCCTATCAAACATCCTACATCCGAAATGCTTTAAACTCATTAAGGCTTAAGAGCCATCCTCTCTCATGATAGGATTATAGGTGAGTTCTTTAGGCGTGTTTTCTATCTAACACCCCGCATCCGAAACACTTTGGACTCATTAAGGCTTAACAGCCAACCCCTTTACATGATAGGATTATCGGTGAGTCCTTTAGGCATGTTACCTATCCAATATCCCGCATCCAAAATACTTTGGACCCATTAAGGCTTAACAGCCAACCTCTTTACATTATAGGATTTCACTTGTAAATCTTACTTGATTTTTGAACCAATCATCTTGTCATTAGTAGCGTAAGCTTTGAACTAATAACTTAATGAAATGATAAGTGTTTGTAAGACTCACCAAACTTTATAAAATCTTACTTGACTTTTGAACCAGTTATCTTTATTATTAGTAGCGTAAGCTTTGAACTAATAATTAGATGAACATGATAAGTATTTGTAAGACTCACAAAACTTTGAGACCCATTGCAGCAGACGTCTTTTCGACTATGTCCTTTTTTCAGACCTTTAGTCAAAGGATCAACCACATTTTTTGAAGACTGAACGTCAATCACCAAGATGACTCCTTGACAAATGAGTTCTCTCAAATAGCCATGCTTCAGACGAATGGTCCGCTTCTTTCCATTGAATAACGAGTTCGCTGCCACAGCACCCGTTGCCTGATTATCACAATAGATTATAATTGCGCCTTGCAATTCTGTCAATGGAAGGTCTCAGAGAATACAACTGAGCCACTCAGCTTCATCTCCTATAGCACAAAGTGCGAAGAACTCAGATTCCATCGATGACTGTGCAATCATAGTTTGCTTCTTAGATTTCCACGAGACGACAACTCCACCCATGGTGAAGATAAAACCTCCAGTAGATCTGCACTCATCTGGTTCTGAGCACCAGCTCGCATCTGAATAGCCTTCGATTATAGCCGGATTTCTAGTGTAGAATAGGTCTAGACCTGTAGTTCCTTTCAAATATCTCATCAATCTCAGGACAGCATCCCAGTGAAGCTTTTTAGGATTACTTGTGAACCTACTAAGCATTCATATAGTGAATGCTATATCTGGCCTTGTGCAGCTCATCACGTACATAAGACTTCCAATTATCTTTGAGTACCTTAGCTGCTCTACTGGTCTTCCAGTGTTCGATTGAAGCTTTTTGTTGTAATCATACGACACTAACAGTTCTGGCAGGTCGTAGTAGCCATACTTCCTTAGTATGCTCTCGACATAATGAGATTAGGACAATCCAATACCCTCTTCAGAGTATATGATTTTGATTCCGAGAATCAAGTTCATAATTCTAAGGTCCTTCATGCTGAACTGAGCTGATAGAAATTTCTTAGTAGATGTTACTATTTCCAAATCACTCCTGACGATGAGCATATCATCCATATAGAGGCAGATAATCACCATATTTCCTTCAGCGACTTTGATATATAGGCACTTGTCAGACTCACTGACTTGATACCCATTATTGCGAACAACCCTATCGAACTTCTCATGTCAGAGTTTCGATGTCTGCTTAAGTCCATATAGAGACTTAATAAGCTTACAAACTTTAACAGCTGGAGCATCAAGTCCTTCTGGCTTCTCCATGTAGATCTCTTCTGTAAGATCTCCATTGAGAAAGACAGTCTTCACATCCATCTGATGTATGATGAACCTTTTTATCATCACTCATACGATAAGCACTCTGATAGTAGTGATCCTGCAAACTGGTGTATAAAATATCAAAAAAATCTATTCCTTCTCTCTAAGAGAATCCTTTCGCCACCAGTCTTGTTTTGTACTTCTCAATAGTACCATCAGGACGAAGCTTCTTCTTGAAGATCCACTTGCAACTGATAGGCCTAGCACCTTCAGGTACATCTATCAGCTCCCACGTGTGATTTTGGATCAATGAATCCATCTCATCATCTATAGCTTCTTTCCACAGAAGAACTCCCACGTGTGATTTTGGATCAATGAATCCATCTCATCATCTATAGCTTCTTTCCACAGAAGAACATCTATTGACTGCATTGCTTTTTAAAAAGTCTGTGGATCTCCTTCCACATTATAGGTGATGAAATCATCTCCAAAATCTTTCTGTCTTCTGACATGTTTGGAAGATGGTTCAGTAACTCATTTATCACTGACACTTTTAGTTTCTCACGAAACTGGCTCCTCTGGTGCGTCTGACGTACTAGCATTCTCTGCTATATCTTTGAGCAATAATTCTTTATCTTTGATAAACTTATCCTCAAAGAATTCTGCATCCCGAGCTTCAATGATGGAGTTGGTTCCAAGATCCAGGAACCTGCAAGCATTGCTATCTCCAGCAAAGCCACACATTGCTATCTTCAGCAAAGCCAAGAAACACACATCTGTTTGCCTTTGGTCCGAGCTTAGGCCTTCTGATATCTAGAACTCGAACATATGCGAGACACCCTCACACTTTGAGACTATCCAAAGGATCTGGATATCCCAACCATAACTGATGAGGAGTACTATCAGTTTTGGAATATGGTACTCTGTTCAAAATCCAGTTTGCCATCAGCAAAGCCTCTCCCTAATAGCATGTAGGTAGACCGGATGTGATTAGCATCAAATTCACCATCTCGGTCAATGTGTGATTCTTCCTTTCTGTAATTCCATTAGATTGCGAGAATACGGAGCAGTAGTTTCAGTAATGATTCTATGCTCCTTGAAGTATGCCTCCGACTCCTTAGATCGGTACTCTCCTCCTCTGTCACTCCTGAGTCTTTTCACCTGAAGTCCAAGCTTCTTCTCCACTTGAGTCCGAAAACTCGACAAACTTGCTGAAGGCTTCATCTTTAGATTTCAGTAGGTAGATGTAGCAGAAGTGAGAGTGGTCATTAATGAAGGTGATGAAGTACTTCATGCCGCCTCAAGTGACGAAGCTCTTGAAATCACAA